TTGATTATATTGCTGCATTTGTTGCTGCTTAAAGTGCCTTAGATTTTGTGTTACTTATTTATCTACTTTATATTTCTTTTGTATTTTGTGACATTCATGTGGACAGCAAAGTAAGAATTTCATTGTACAGGGAAACACGTTTCCTAATATGACAAATAAACACTCTGAACTTGAACTAATTGATCTGCTTTTGGCGGCCAAGAAACTTTCCTATTTATTTTAATGTCATTTAAGTGTATTTATTTAATTTCACTGTCTCAAGTCCTGTAACTGTATTTCTGGAGTTTGTAACTCTAGTTCAGTAATTGTGCAGCAAGGGTAGGGGGGCAGCAGAGAGCAAAAAACGGTGCAGTAATTATGCATCTGGACTGAGGGGCAGCAGAGAGAAAAACAGTGCAATTATTGCACATTAGGGCTGGGGGCAGCAGAGAGCAAAAATGGTGCTGTAACTGTATGAGGGCGTTAGGGGTGATATAGAGCAAAAGTGTGTATATTAAAATAACATACAGAAGCTTTCTTCATTTTTTTTCTCATTTTACTATTTTTCTGAGGACTTCTCTGAAATTTTGAGAAACCTTTTAACAACGTCTACAGGCCATTGCAGTGAAAATAAAGTGAGGGCCGACCTAAATGTCCTCACTTAAAAAGGTCCTCACTCCAAAGGATATAAATTTTCATTCATCCTCACAATGATGGCTATGCAAACACACACACACACACACACTGAGAGGAATGCACAATGCAACATCTTGTCTTTATTCATAAGGACAAATCCTTTCACAATGACAGAACACACATTTGACAGGGTCATATTACAGGTTTAAAATTAATATAATGAATTCTGATTTCAAGGCTGTATAATGCACGTTTGCACGATTGTTCAAAAAGATCCCTTCCAGACATGTTTTAAAATATATAATAGACACTATACTATATAGTTGTATCACATTATAGTACTCTTCTTTGAATAATATTTTGTGTCTGAAGTGTTTTTTCACAATAACAATCATTAGTGAACTCCAAACTCCGAAGATGCATTGTGACAAGAAACAACCGGTTCCAGAGGGTCAGATTCAGTTCTGTGCACCAGCAAGCTGAAGCTAAAGATGAGGCTGTTAAACCTGAAAACCCAATATGCCGATTAATTGGTTCACTTTGAGTTTGGCAACAATAACCCAGTGTTTTGTTTACAAAATTCATGAAACATTTTGAATACTACCTCTGAATCATGTCTTTGGCTGGCTTCATCTCTACAGGAGCCGGAGGTAATGGGTGCTGTATTTTGCCATTACAAACTGACAAAAAAATGATTTCTCAACAGTAACAAACAGTAAGCAGGTGGAAGGAGCCACAGGACCAGGTGGAGGGACACAGAGGTGAGGGAGATGAGGCCACAGTGAGCCATTCAGGTGATAAACCTCTCAGCTATTAAAATTGATTTGGTTTTATTTCATATTATAATGCTTTCACCACTGTGGATCCTAATATATGCATTAACACAATATGTACAAAAATACAAGACAAATCACATCCCACATTGATTCAATACAGGACAGAACATTTTATGTACAAAACTAGACAATGCTGTATTATAAGACATGGGTAGCAACTTGATGCTGAAGGGTCTTAACCTGCAGTTCTTCTAATGCCCACTAGAAAATGTGCACTGTATTTTAAGGGACTGAAAAATAATGTCAGGATTTCATTCCCATTTTAGAGCAGGTCATCTCCTAACCAGAACATTAGCGATTCGATTCCCGGCTTGTCCAGTCCACATGTTGAAGTGTCCTTGAGCAAGACCCTGAGCCCCAGTTGCTCCCGGTGTTGACACTGGTGCGTGAATGTATTTGTGCTTGGAAGTGCAAATGGGTGAATGATCAAATAGTGTGAAAGTGCTTTCAGCGTGCTGCAAAGCAAAGCAAAGTGCTATAGAAGTATAACACCATTTACCAATGTGTCATTACTTTCATGTCTCTGTTATAGCCAGATGTGTGTGGTATGATGGCATCATTGTACTGTTGCAATAACGTCAATATAGCCATTGTAGGAACATCTTATGAGCATATTAGTTTTCCTAAGGTTCTTGTTAACTATTTTAAACATGTTTTTCTAATAAAGCTAAAAGTTTGAAAAAAAAAAGGTTCCATATAGTTGCTCAGTGAATTATGCAACATCACGTCTTACTGCTTCGGTGGAAGTGAAGTTATTGAATATTTTTCCAAAACAACTATTTATAGCTATCTACGAGATTTTGGCAGGAGAGCTTTCAGGTAAATATGTACAACTGTAAACATTTGTAATTGTAATTACACTTTATTGCACTGGAGTGATTGCTGTGTCATATCAGAGAATCATGGTGTTAGGTATTTTTAGTCAGATAGAAATTGGATAGATACTTTATGTATTAGAAATGTTTAGCGGAGATAGGATGTTTAGTTAGACTGTTAAATGCTTAGTCATGCTTATGAGTTTCTACAGGGTACATCTGGTCAAGGATAACTAGAGGGAAGAGTTGATTACTGTCAGCAGACAGGATGTTTAATATTATTATTATGACGTGTATAACTGTAGCCTTAGTCATAATATGTTCTTATGTTTGAGTCACGACATGTACTAGAGGTCGTGAGAATGTTTTTAGCTACACACCACTTAATCAACAGTGTAGAACTGTAGCCTTAGCCATAATATTTTCTTATGTTTAATGTCATGACATGTCACTAGAGGTCGTGTGAGAATGTTTTTAGCTACACACCACTTAATCAACAGACACACACACATTGATTTACTTCATGTTTTGACTACTGCTATGGCCAGCTGCAAAGCTGGCAACAGAGACGTCTCGGTTGACGTTTTCTGGGTAGTATGGGGCTAGCCCAACCGAGGGGATATAATGTATAGGCCTGGTGGGTTCAGGGTCTTTCATCTTACATCTGCCTGCGAGCAGTTTGGAGGTGCAAGATATCTGAGAGTGTAATGTTAATTTTACCTGTGATCCTTTGAATAAATCAGTACTGTTTTGAAGTTACTTGGACTGTCTCGTCTCTCAGAGTTAGCAATGATAATAAGAATCGTATCCTGCAATGGGTTAAGTGTTCACCAGAGTGTTTACCCAGAGTATCACAGGTCTCACAGTCCTGCACTTTACATGGCTGTCATTCACACCAGGAACTGCCGGTGACTGCAGAGATTCATAGAATCAAATACGTGCCCCTGAACATAATTGTGTAATTATGCAAACATATATATCTGAATGAAGGAGTCTTTTGGATTAACTTCTGACATGTGGCACTGGCCATTCTACCTGGAGTAGACCTATGTATCCAGGAAGTGTTTGTTTTGTGGTCATTAGAGCAATGAAACCTGTTATCAGTGGCTAAGTTCAGGAAGTACCCTCTTCTCTTGACCTATGGGCTCATTCAGTCACCTCTGTCACCAGGAAGTGTTTCTCTACTTTAAGTGTATCTGGGGAGTGTCAGCTATTGACCATCTGAGGCAGGAAGTGCCCACTCTCCTTGAGCCTGTGTTGTTCATTTTGACCCTCTTCATCAGGAAGTATCCTTTCTACTTACTGTAGATGGGATCTATGGAGTTGCGGTTAGTAATGACCTCAGGCAGGAAGTGTCCCCTCTGTTGGATGGATGGAGCCATTCTCATTTCTTTTACAAAGCAGGCCAAGTATTGTGTGGAGTTGGCTTTGTTTTCCTCTCTGAGGGTAAATGTATTTGCTAAAGATTCACTAGAACAGTTAAATTACCTCAGATGAGACTAAGGTTATAGGTTATCTACATTTTGTAATTGTACAGATAAGCATGACTAACTGGATGCTGTTCAGAGATGCGCTGTGAAATGAGTTACCATTTGTTAGAATAATGTCAAAACCCTGCAAAATCATGACAAGTAAATACATGTACATAGAGTAACTACATATCACAAAATCCAGAGGTGGTAATAGAGAGGAGTGGTCTTCAGACACAGGCTTTGCCTTGTTTATCTGTATCTTCTCTGGTAACAGGACATGATAAAAAGCTATAGGTGGGACCTATGCATGCATAGGTCCCTGGGGGAGTTGAGGTTATGCAGGATCTAATACAATGCTATGTTCACTACATCATCCACTGACCTGGTACCCCGGAAGGCGAACTGCAGGTCCATGATGTCCTTCAGGTGGACCAACACAAGTCTTTCAAAGGACTTCATAACTACAGATGTCAGGGTGCATTATGAGCTGAAGTGGGAGAAGACCAATATAATAATAATAATACAGAGGAAAAGTGGCCCTTAGGTTCACTGCAAATATAATAAAGCAAAGACTTTAGTCACTAGACCTATATCAGGTTCCATGATGACTTCTTTTTCACTGGTGATTTAACTTCTAATCAAATAAAACCAAAGACATCAGTTAGTCAAACAGTTTCCAAATAAATTGTGTTTCACACATTTAATGTAAATCACTGTCAACCTTTCTGAAGAGGGCACCAAATACAAAACCTTTTTCAACACTGACATCTAGAGGAAGGTCAGCATACATGCATGGCATTGGCTACAGGGTTTTATAGTCAATCAATATCACATTCTTAAAATATTCTAAAGCTATAAAAAGGTGGTGAGATTTCTGGGTAATATAGTTTGTTAATTATGTAAAAACTTAAAAGTTTTAGTATTTCATCAGAATCTGATGGTCTTCTCTGAATCACTTGTTTGTGTGTTTCAAGATGGAAAGTTACCAGCAGCTACCTCAAATAAAATCTCCACCAACATCCTATCAAGCTCAGGATGTCATATAAAAGTGTAGTCTATACAACAATCAACTTTCAGGTTACATTTGATGGCAGATTTCAAAATGTTCGAGGTTTCTATCAGACAGGAACATTACTCTTTTTATCCACATATATTCATCTGTAGATGACATTTAAATAAAGTGGTGAAACAAATCCCATTCTTTTAAAAATTTGGCCAGGTTGTTCCAAACTTGATTTGGAAAAAAAATACAACTCCCAGCGTCCCACGGTGTCGCACAACAACAAACGACACCGAGGCAGCAGCTGGGAGAGGAGACAGACTGTTCAAAGAGAAGCAGAGAGAGAGAGAGAGACTGAGAGAGTGTTCCTTCCACATCAGCGGAGGTTTTCTCCGCTACATAGGAGCAGAACTGACCAAATGGCTAAAAACCCGGAAGTGGAGCGCATCGCCAAAAAGCTGGATAAAATGGTGCACAAGAAAGACACGGTGAGTGCAAAAACAGATGCTGCATCCGCAGAAAACGCGGTCAGGTGATGAGCTCTACCTTTAACTGCTGAGGGAGGGAAAATTCTGGAAGCACGGAGAATGTGTCAGAACTCTGCTCGCTGCTGTGTAAAGGAGGAACTATATACTTTGCAGTTAATCTCAGACACAAGGCTAGTGCTCCTGTTTTTGTTTTCAGAATTTTGCAAACAGTTTGGTTTTAAATCACAGCAGTGATTGGTCCAAAAGCTGCCAATTATGACCCTCCCACCTGCAATCAGTTATCTCGTCAGCTTACCCCAGTTTATTAACTGCAGTTCCAGAGGTTACAGTATTTTATGTTGGTTATATGTCATCAGAAGTTAAAATGTTTTAATTAGTGAAAGGGCAGCTTTGGCTTGGTGTACATACTGGGGGAAAGTAATTTGTGGGCTGTGAGCTCCTGAAATGTTTATAATGTAGTTTTTTCTAATGTATCATCATGAAGAACAAATATTAAGCACTGTAAAGCGGTGAGTAGACAAGTAAACAAGAAAAACAGGCATAAAACAGCATCATTTCAGCTTGAGAACTGGGCACCTATTAAATAATTGTGAATTAATTATGAAAGTTAAATGTACATAGATCAAAAACTAACGGATTCTGTGTCCTCAAATAAAAATGTTAAGGAAGAGGATTTTGATTTAATTTCAGTCTTAATTTTGATCTTGTTTTCTAACTAAATCATTAATAACCGTGGCCATAAATCATTTCTGGCTGGTCAAATACTTACTCTAACTTGTAAGACTGTATAGAGTGGTTAAAAATGAATACAAATTAAATACTTGAACTAAACCAGTGTGGACTAAACTCTTCCTAATAGTTCATGAAAGTGAACGCTTCATGAAACATCTTCGGACTATAGACCCTGGGGCCACATCCAAACTAAGGGCCAAGGCACATCATCATTCATTTTAGCAAAATGTCATACCAGCATACAAACCAGAGGTCATCTGAAGGGTCATGGCCAAGTGATTCTCATACCCATACTTTGATTCAAATGTTCTGTTTACTTTAGTTTTTTTTACCTCTCTGTGTCACTCCAGGCATCAGGAAAGAGAAAAAGACATATATACATGATTACTCAGAGATACTATTGTAAACAAACAAGGCAGACCATTTCATGTTTTCTTAAGTCAAAACAGTGCAAAGTACAATATTTATGGGGAGGTACTCATCCAGGGGAATGGCAAGTCCCTTGTTTAAATATATACTGTCCAACATGTTAAGTAAGAACTTATGACATTTTGATAACTTTTGATCATGAGTACTCGGCCTCAGCTTGTCGCTGGTGTTGGACTATCCTGTAGCCTGCAGCATTGGAACAACCAGTTTGCCTTCAGGTATCCTGGAGTGCATAGTGGGTGCAAAACATAAGCTATGTGTTTGATTGAAATATACAATAGAATTAAAATGACCTTTCCTGTGTTGCCTTTACTTGAGCTTCCACAGCTTGTGCAGCTGCAGCACAGCCCCCAGTGAGGAGCAGATGCAGCACAAGGAAATGTGAGTGAGGATGGGGTTAATGAATGTCACAGGGGAGTGACAAAGCGTGGTGAATGAGAGCAAGGCTAAATCAATGCCATTCTCATATGCAGGGTGGAATACTGACCATTTAAGATGGTAGCTTTTCACTTTTTGTTTTCATTAGTTTTATTATCAGACTCAGCTGACCAGGTATGTTGGACACACAAGGAATTTGACTCTGGTACAGTGGCTCTCAATGTGTATGTACAATGTTCTGTAAAGCAGTGAGTAGAAACAAGAAACCTATATCTGGATGTAAATCCTGCAGTAGATAAAATCATTATTCAGTACCTTACTCAAATGTGATGATTGAGATTTGACTTTGATGATCAGTTACAGTTTAACGTTGCCACTGTGGCTGGTAGAAATCATTCTTCCTGCTCAGTGTAAGAGAACATAGCCAATGTAGCAGGCATGACAGGAAAATTGCATTTGTTTGCTATACTTGTCTTTAAGAAACTGCAATCGATTAATCATTTACATCTATTTAAGGGTAACCGTAGCAGTGGAAATGAATGTTATGCACAATTTTCAGTGATTATACAGGTTTAGTGTTGAACATACAGAGAGTTTATGATTGGGAATGTTTTTCTTTTTGTCATTTTCCAAGAGCAAATTTTGGTGGTACAGTAACAGTTGTGGGAAAACTGTTTATAGATTTGTTTTAAATGTCAGAGTGGGGTTTGGGAATAGTTTGACAATACAGTAGAGTTTGTCATTCTTCTTTTTTCTAAAATACCCTCTATTGTTTTACTGTTGTTGTTTTTCTTCCGGGGCTTTCTCTTCCTCCCTCCTCTCAATTCAATTTAATTCAGTTTTATTTTTATAGCACTAAATCATAACAAAAGTCATCTCAAGACACTTTAAAAAAGTAAGGTCTAGACCTTACTATTATTATTATTATAGAGAAAACCCAACAAATCCCTATTAAGCAGCACTTGGCGACAGTGGGGAAGAAAAACTCCCTTTAACGGAAGAAACCTGTGATGGAGGTGCAGAGAACAGACTCCATGATTCCTCTGTAGAACTGTATCAGCAGCTCCTGGGGCAGGTCAAACTTTCTGAGCTGATGCAGGAAGTACATCCTCTGCTGTGCCTTCTTGGGGATGGTCCTGATGTTGGACGCTGACTTCAGGTCCTGGGAGATAGTGGAGCTCAGGAACTTGTAGGACTTTACTACAGGTATAGTGCTGCAAGTATGGTGGTGGGGGTTCTTCCTGAAGTCCACTGTCATCTTCACTGTTTTGAGCGTGTTCAGCTCCAGGTTGTTGCAGCTACATCACAGGACCAGCTGCTCAACCTCCCATCTGTAGGCTGACTCATCGCCATCTCAGATGAGTCTAATGACCGTTATATCATCAACAAACTTTAGGAGCTTGACAGAGGAGTTCTTCGAGGTGCAGTCGTTGGTGTAGAGTGAAAACAGCAGAGGGGAGAGCACACATCCTTGGGGGGTGCCTGTGCTGATATATCTGGGTGCTGGATGTGGTTTTTCCCAGTCTCACCTGGGGGAGCTGGGTCAGTTTGGAGTGGAGGGTGTCCGGGATGATGGTGTTGAACGCTGAGCTGAAGGCCACCATGAGGGCCCGTGCATAGGTCCCTGGGGAGTCGAGGTGTTGCAGGATGTAATGCAGTGCCATGTTGACTGCATCGTTACTTTGTTTCAATAAAAAAAAAAAAATAAGTTAACTGCATTGTCCACCGACCTGTTTGCCTGCTAGGTGAACTTCAGGGAGTCCAGAAGGGGGTCTACGATGTCAGGGTGACAGGTCTGTAGTCGTTCAGTTCACTGATGGAGGGTTTCTTGGGGACTGGGATAATGGCGGAGTGTTTGAAGCTGGAGGGGACTTCACACAGTTCCAGTGACCTGTTGAAGATAAGTGTGAAGATGGGGGCCAGCTGATCAGTGCACACTTTCAGGCAGGAGGGGGGGGGTCACACCATCTGAACCTGGTGCCTGGCAGGAGGGGGCGTCACACCATCTGAACCTGGTGCCTTTCTGATCCTTTGTTGTTTTTTTTTTAAAGAGGCCACGCACATCCTTTTCGTAGATCGTTAGAGGTGGGGGGCAGGGGGGAAGGGTGGCAAAACTGTGGTTGTTGTTGTATGTGCAGAAGGACTTATTGGGCACACATCCTTGCAAAAGCTGATATAAGATGTCACAGTGTCAGTGAGTTCATCCAGGTCTGTAGCTGCAGCCTAAAATACACTCCAGTCTGTGCAGTCAAAGCAGGCCTGTAGCTCTGGCTTAGCCTCCTCAGTTCAGCTCTTCACTGTTTTGACCACAGGCTTCGCAGGTTTAAGTTTCTGCCTGTAGGTTGGAATAAGGTGGACCATGCAGTGATCAGCGAGTCCAAGGGCTGCGCAGGGGACAGAGCGATAGGCGTCTTTTATTGTTGTGTAGCAGTGGTCGGGTGTGATTTTGTCCCTGGTGGGACAGGTAATGTGCTGTCTGTATTTGGGCAGTTCTTGGACTCTAAGTCCGTGTTACATGTCTGCTGGAGCACTGTGACATCTGTGCACCAACCTTCATTTATGTAGAGACAGATTCCCACTCCTCTTGTTTTCCCGGACAGCTCCATTACATGATCCACTCTGTACACCTGTAAGCCCGGTACTTGGATTGTGCTGTCTGCAATGGAGTCACTGAGCCAAGTCTCCGTGAAGCACAAAGCAGCAGAGGGTGCAAAATCACAGTTGGTCCTGTTGACGAGAAGGAGTTCATCCATCTTGTTGACTAGGGAGCAGACACTTGCTAGGTGGATGGATAGGAGTGGAGTCCGGGTCCTTCTCTGGCGTAGCCTGAGTAAGGCACCCGCTCATTTGCCTTGTCTGCCCTTCCTCCAGGTCTCATAGATTGCAGCTGCGCCGCCAATCAGAATGTCCACACAGCATTCTTTGTTCAAGAATGTCAGAGAAAGGTGGTCTGGTGTGAATTGTCCGATGTTTAAGAGTTCTTCTCTGGTGAAGATAATCCGGGATGGGTTGCAAAAGACAGAGAAAACAAAACAAGTACCTTTCTACCCTCCCCCACTGTCCTACTAGGATTATATTGAAGCAACAATATTATAATTAAGCTAACTATAAGCATTTTCAAAAAGGAAAGTCTTTAGTCTTGTCTTAAAGGTAGAGAGGGTGTCTGGCTCCTGAACTGAGACAGGGAGCTGGTTCCACAGGAGAGGAGCTTGATAGCTAAAGGCTCTGCCTCCCATTCTACATGTACAGTTGTAGCTGCGGCAAAGAAACTATCTCGGCAATATTGTCCTCACAATGTTTGTCTACATTTGCAACAGGGGTTGTGTGCGTTCATGAACTACCCTCTCATTTTTAGGAGGAGGCTCACATTGTGACATCGGGTTTTATCATTCTGAAATAATTACAGACTATTTGGAGTTATGATGGGTGCAAAGCTAATCTAGAGCCACTCAAGATAAAAC